CCCCCCCCCCCCCCCCCCCCACACACACACACATAATTTCTGCATCTCATGTCCCTCTAATTACTACTCTGGTGTCCCTTATTACAATCTGAAATGTCTTGTGCTTGTATTGATTGGTTTACTCTGTGATTTGCCTTTGCCCAAAAAAAGAAATCTTATCTGTCTGGCTTGCTAACTTATCCCCAATTCCCAGTACCTGGAAGAGTATATGGCTCACAGTGAGTGTTCATGAAATATTTGATGATTAAATGTTTAAATCAGATTGTTTCACAGTTAACCAGAGATGAGGGCTACTTAATTGTTTCTTAGAGTAGGATCTTCCTGTCAGTTGGAAACCTTCAGAATATACAGATGTTTCCTTGCCCTAGAAGCCAAACAGAGCAGAAGATTATGGTAAACAGCTGTCTCAGCTGCCTCTGGATTGATCCCAAACACAATATTTCTTTCCAGGCCTGAAAATCGACGAACACTGTCCACCACGATGTGATTGCCCGTGATATCTGATGCATCTCTGATCCGTATGAACTGATCAGATTTCTCATTGAGCTCAAAACTTCTTTTCCTCATTGCTCCTTGAAGCTTAGGTTTATATCTTTGTACCTCACTTGCATTGCTGCAAATCACAGCAATATCCTTGCAGGAATAGCCATTCCTCAAGAGGAAATGGCATTTCTCTGCTATAAAACTCACCATCTCCTCCATATTCGATTTCTTTGTCATCTCAAACTTGCCTGCAACACCCTGAGACCATTTGACTTCACGGAGTATTTCCAGGAACTCAGGAGGGATGTTAGGTGGTGGATAATTTCTGACCTTGTGCAGTATTTCTTGTAGGTAGTTAGCTATTGGCTCTGCATTGCGCACCACTCTGGTGAGCTCTTTTCTTGGATACTGTTTTTTGATATCGGGGAGGCCACTGACATCCGTGTGGCTAGTTTGAAAGTAGTCCAGAAAGGTCCAGAGAATTCCAGGGGTATCGTTTTCTCTCTGAGTGATGGTTTCTGCCTTCTTGTACCAATTGCCACCTTCATCGCGGAAATTCTGAGCTTCATCAATGATTATGTGTTGAATCGTTTCAAAGTCTGAGTTGTTACCCATGAAGGCTTTTCGGGTCACTGCGACGCAGATGTTTTTGCGGCTGAAAATGCAAGAAACACAGTTAAGTTTCCCCAATCAAATAAAGGAAGTCAATTTTACTCTTAAACTCACCTTGACACAGTAAATACAATATGAATTTGAGCATGTAAACCTAAAGCCACACCAGTCAAACTTACTCAAGAAAAAAAAGTGAAAACAGGCTGCATACCTCACGAATTCTTGCAGGGGCTTGTTCTCACAGATGTAAAGAATGTGACCTGGTTGACAGTGAAACACATTCCTGATCTTTTCCATGATCTTAAGAGCCAGGATGGTCTTCCCTGATCCAGGTAAGCCATGCACAAACAGCTTTCTGGTCTCGCGAAGGTTCACTGAAAGCAGCTCATATTGTTTATCTGTTAGTAGGTTCAAAACCTCAGAGCCCAGCTCTTCACTTAAAAAAGATGTGAACCCACACAAAACTATCACAAGGGACTGCAACAGAGCCTCCATGTCCTGTGTTGTTTTCAGTTTATAGGACTCAGGGTAACACGGCAATGTCGAATCACTAAGGGAATCTGCTGTTGTGTCAGGATTCAGCAGGAAGGCCGAGGGAATGATGCACAGTTTTCCAGTGTAGCCGCCTGTGTTCACCAGCTTCTGCTTTAAGGTACGGGCAACATTCAAACAATAGTCCTTCCAGCCGTCACTGTGCTCCCTGAAGATGGTGTAGAGGACGGGGATTTTGTTCGGGGAAAGTAGGAGAGCGTCACAGACGACTCCCTGCTTCTCTTGCAGACCGACATCCACAGCCCAGCTTCGAGAAAATATCAACATTCCTTGGGAGACAGAGCGCATTTGCTTATTTATTAATTTTCTGAGTCCTTTATGTTGCGAGAACAGTTCCTTGAAGAGGCTTTGTGGTCTATATAGCACGTCTGGTGATACTGGACCGGGAAAGAATTGGAATAAATTAGAGAATTCGCAGACAAGCTTGTAATCATCGTTGTATGTAACAGAGTCAACCCACCCTTGGATCTACCATGCCTTAGGACTAGGTTATGCATTAGTAACAACTCCAGTCCAATGGAACCGATAAACAACAGGCATAAAAAGAGACGAACAATAATTACGACACAGTGTGGTAAATTAATGGGGAAGAAATACGCAAAGCATTATGTGAACACCAGGGAGAGGCGCAGCTCAGGAGAGGAGAATAGGAAAGTCTTTGAGGAAGGGGACACCGGAGCTGCTGCTTACAGGATGACTGACAGTCAGCCAGCGGAAGGGAGACTGGAGATGGGCAAAGGGGATACAGAAAGGAAGCACGAGGCAAGGAACAGCAAGATCCGCTCAGGCAGCTCCAGGCGGATTGTGTTGCTGATGTCTAAAGCGAAAAGCAAAAAAGGGGAGACGGGGAGGAAGGCATCCTCCTGCCATCGTAACACCTGGCAGTGCCGACTGCAGCTAACAATACTGCACTGAATCGTTATATCCTTGAAGGTTGTTAAGAGAGATCTTAGATATTCTCAACACATACACACAAATGGTAATCATGTGAGGTGATAGCTACGTTAATTAATCTTACTGTGGTAATCATTTCACAATATATACATGTATGAAATCATGTCACATACCTTATACATGGTGTTATCAGTCACAGCTCCATAAAGCTGGGGGGAAATACTTGGCAAATGTTATATACTGTATGACTTCACCTACATGGTATTCAGTGAAAGACAAAATCACAGGGATAGATGCCCGGCCGGGCGTGGCTCAGCGGTTGAGCATCTACCTAGGATCCAGGCGATCGGGGTTCGATTCCCGGTCAGGGCACATGCCCGGGCTGCGGGCTTGATCAATGATTCTCTCATCATTGATGTTTCTATCTCTCTCTCTCCTTCTCCTTTCCTCTCTCTGAAATCAATAAAGATATATTAAAAACAAAAACAAAAAACAAAAAAACCCCCACAGGGACAGAGAACATCGATGGCTGCTAGGGGTTAGGGGCTGGAGGAGATTTTGACTACAAAGGGGCAGCATAAAGGAGCCTTTTTGTTGTTAATTCTCTCCCGAACATATTTTTTCCATTGATTTTTTTAGAAAGAGGGGAGGGGGGAGAGGGAGGG